GGGGGGGGGGGGGGGGAATGCAGATATCTCCACTGAAGCAGCTGAAATAAAAGTAACAGATTGCTCTAAAATGTCTCATCGAGCAGTTTTATTTACGTGTTTGTCAATTCCATATGTTTAATTCTAGTCCCAGAAGAGCAGCTATGACTAAGATCTCTCCTCTATTTTAACAGGACTATACTAAAACAGTTCAACAACACTCGGCATCCAAATTTATGGATATGTTCAGTAGAAAATATGCTCGTCCACTGATTGTAAGTTATATGCATAATCCCGAGTTGGTTTACTTTAGAGTTTAGATGATATGATACTTCTGTGGACATTCAATATCATAAGGTTGGAACAGGGTTAATGGCTCTCGTACAGTTTGGAGGGAACAGTGCGATATCTTCTTATGCCAGTTCAGTTTTTAGAGCGGCTGGTAAGAACAGTCAGAAATAAATGTTGTTTTGATTGGAGTAGAAAATTTCAGCCTTTTGTTTATAGGCATACATCTAAAAGTCAAGCTCATTTTACAAGGTTGTACGGCAAACTCAGCATCTAGAGTCATGGCTGTTCTCCAGGTTCTCAACTCTTGAAACTCCAGTTTAACAAAAGACTGTTAAAAAGGACACTCAAACAATCATTTTTCTTTTCAGCTTCCATTTGCTGCCATGAGCATTATCCTTACTGAAAAAGCTGGACGATGACTGCTTATGATGGTTAGATTGATGACCATGAGTTCATGTCTCTTTGCCCATAAAGTACAATATGAATAAGCCTCAACACTTTGTTCACAGATTACTTCTGCTGGGGCTTGCTTAGGATGCTTTCTTGCAGCATTGGGGTTTCTTTTAAAGGTAGTAATCTTGGTGATAAATCAAATACTTCAATTTGTTTGCCACACTTTTGTTGTTGTGATGCTCATTATATCGATGTTTCTGCTTTACCATGAACAGGATTATCATCAACCGGCAGAGCTAACCTCTTCAATGGTGTTCAGTGGCATAATGGTTTGTAAAAACATCCATTACTTCTTATTCATCTCCACATTTTTCGAGCACCTATTGCTAGCCAAAGTCCTCTATATTCTGTCATAACTTTGTTAATCATTCATTTATATCCAGCTCTTTTCTGTATTTTTCACAATGGGCATGGGTGGTACACACTGGATTATCATGTCAGAGGTACGTCATGAAACCAGTTGTAAGATGTCAAATTCAAAGACAATTTGTTATACAGATTTAATTAACAAACCAAAAGCCAATCTCTATTTCAGATACTTCCTATAAACATCAAGGGTTCTGCTGGAAGTTTCATTGCCTTGGTCAACTGTTTTACTTCTTGGATAGTTTCTTATGCTTTTAATTTCCTATTCCAATGGAATGCAGCAGGTGATGCCGCTCGCCATGTCTTCCTAAACCTTCCTTTTGTACTAATAATATTTTCTTCTAATTTCATCAACTGCCTCGGTTGTTTACTAAAGTGTAAAATTTCCAGGAGTATTCTTCTTGTTTGCATTCTTTTGTGGCTCAGTCGTTGTATTCGTTGCAATGCTGGTACCAGAGACTAAGGGACGGACACTTGAGGAAATCCAGGCATCGATGACATTACTAAAATGATTTGTTCTTCATTCATGAGTGCTTATTTTGAACTTCATCAGACTACTTTATCATTCAGAACTAAAACTGTATATAGAGATTGATGTTTGGTTATGTTCATATGTAAATCTTATCCAATATATCATAAACAACAATGTACTTATTTGTAAGTAAAGATCATAGTTTTGGAATTAGAAGTAGAACCACAGTTCAATGTCTGATGGGGCAGGCAACTGGTATAACATATGAACATTGCCTAGGCACTTAAGCAGTGAATTGAATCAGCTTTTGTTCATATTTAGTAAATAGTAAAGAGCTATAACCATAAGTTGAATGAATTGATACAAGTACTATCTTGAAAATAAATTACACACACAAAAGATTAAATCAATTAGTCAACAGAAAATTTTCATAATTACAATGATACAAGTGCTATCTCGAAAAAATTAAATTAAAATCAAACTTTTGAAACTCTAACGCTTGGAAAGAGACTCATAAACGATATGGGGCAAAAGAAGTCAACAAAAAAGTTAATAGGTGATGTAGAGATACAAGACTTCCAACTCTAACATGACCTTATTGTTTAACCTTTTCAAAGGGAACCTGCTAATATTATCGTACTTTTGTGCAAAGAAAGAAAAAAATCCGTCGAAAGAAGGATTAAATTTAACATCATATGACAGTTTAAGAGTATGCAAATCAACTTTTTTTTTTTTAATCGGGATTTGACTCCTTAAAAAAAGACTTTATTTTTAGATCGGAAAAGGCCTAAAAATGCCACTCAACTTACAGAAATGACCTATCGATGCCATCCGTTAAAGGCTCGCTATTTCCAGCCACTACCGTTACACATTTGGCCCATCTATGCCATTATTTGACTAACGGCTGATTTTTTTTTTAAAAATATTTATAATTAGTGAATAGACCCGCATTTACACGTGTCCTGTCATTATTGGTCCGACTTTAACCCTGCCCTACATAATTTTAACCTTGGTTAGGTGCATTTACCAAAACCCAACCCATTAAAACATACCCAAATTATTAACCCAAACCTTACCGTTAAAACATACCCAAATTGTTACACGTCCAGTGTGTCAGTCATACTTCAATAAAGTTCACATGCAAAGAAAATAAAATAGAAAATTGAGGGAATAAATAAGAATTACACATTTCGGCACTTAAAAATACAAGAATAACAAAACCCTAGAAAGACAATTATTTGGGGGACCGGAATAGAAAAGAACAAAAATATAAAAGGATGGAACTAGAGAATAAACAATGGGTTCAGAACTAGACAAAAACAAGTAACTCCGCATGCACAACAATCCCCACATGAACAGAATTTACACCCACCCTATTAAACCTCACCCACCAGATTAAATAAGTTTTTGGATCTACTAACCTTGATAATTACATCAATCTTCCAACAAAATCGATTTTTGAAGCCACCTTCGACAATAGCCTTGCTTACGTTCGATAACCTAGTAAGACTAAAGAGGGATTTTTGATAAAGGGGATTTCTTTGATGAAAGAGACGACCGGAGAGTGAAGGGGATTTGGTATGAAGGGTTAGGTTGGGTTAATATGATGGGTTTGTTTTTACCGGGTTGGGTTTGGGTAAATACACCTAACCAAGGTTAAAATTATGTAGGGCAGAGGTAAAGTCGGACCATAATGACATGATGCATGAAAATGTGGGTCTATTCACTAATTATAAATATTTAAAAAAAAAATTCAGCCGTTAGTCAAATAATGGCATAGATGTGCCAAATGTGTAACGGTAGTGGCATGGAAATAGCAAGCTTTTAACGGATGGCATCGATAGGCCATTTCTATAAGTTGAGTGGCATTTTAGGCGTAAAAATAGCACGGTCTAGCTAGTTTTCGGACTGGTCATTCAAAAATAGCCAGCATTTACCAAGTCAACTGTGTATACTGGAGATTCGAGCACTTGTGTATGAACTTCCAGCATATTATACTGGAGATTCAAGCACTTGTGTATGAACTTCCAGCATATTATACTGGACCAATATACTTTGCTGGAACTCCAGTATATTATGCTGGAGTTCTAGTGTACTTATGCTGGAACTCCATCATATTATGCTGGAGTTCCAGCATACTTATCCCGGAACTCCAGCATATTGAGTTCAAGTATACTTATACTGGAACTCCAGCATAATATACTGGCGTATTTTCCGGTTTTTGAACAGTGTTTTCGCTCAGATTTATCTTTACATCAAAAGTGGCTAAATTTCGATTACTTTTGAAACTGGGCTATTTTTGATCGACCACTTGTAAATCTGGCTATTTTTGAATTTCTCCCATTTTAGGCCTTTTCCGTTTTTAGATTGATGGAGAAAATACGATAGTGTTTACAACAACATATTTTAGCTTAATATGATTAAGTTTGATAAAAAATTAACGTGAGAAGGTTGGTGTTATCTCATTACATACATTATAGTACTCTTTTCGATCGTTAAAATAGGAGATGGTTAAAATATAAATCTGAGAAAGTTACATTGATTGAAAGTTCATCACAAAATCTGCTAAAATTGCACGGGGCGTCCTATTTGGTCCCCCCATTTAACCTATACCCATTTTTTTTTAAACTTTTAACTTGTACGCACTTTTTAAACAATTTCAGTCCCCTTTCTCCTCCTTCTCCAGTGATCTCCATATCTCTACGGAACTTAACATTAATGTAACAATATCTCTCCTTCTGTGGCTTCACTCAATTCCTCAGAAGCGATCTTACTATACATAATTAAATTAATTGTAACGTAAGAAAACCTTTTTGTGATTTTGACTTGCTATCAACTATTCTGCTGATTCATGCGACCATAAAACTTATTCATCTCATTGCTGAAGAGGATTCATGAAAATCTGGTCGTTTGTTGATTCAGGAGTCTACTATAGCATTTGTATCCTTAAACAATGATTATAGCAGTTAATAAATGATTTTTCTGCAGTACTGATCATGTATATATCCCTGCAGAAGGTATGGGTTCCTCCCCCAAAATAAGAAACTTCAGCAGTACATACTCAAGGGTTTTAAAAACTTCAGCTCTAGTCCCCAGTTACAAAAGTAAAAACTTTCGCCAGTTACAAACAAAAACTTCGCCAGTTACAAACAAAAACTTCGACAGTTATAAAAAAAAACTTCAGCTCTAGTGCTGAAGTTCGACAGTTACAAAAAAAACTTCGCCAGTTACAAAACAAAAATTTCAGCTCCTGAACTTCAGGTCCGGCTACTAGAATGCTGAAGTTTTGCGTGATTGCCTTTGCTACTTGAGTCCCGTATGCTGAAGTTATGCAAAAAAGCGGGTATGCTTGTAATTTTTTTTGCAAAGCAGACACAAGTTAAAACATGACAAAAAAGTGGTTATAGATACAAATGACCAACAAAATCTTCAATTTCGGAAATCTTCCAATTCATTTGTTCATCGAGAGCCAGTTACCCTCAGCGTGGTCCACCGTCTCTAGCATGGTTAAATGCTAACGACTCACTGGCGGGGTACTCTCAGACGAATTCTCCGACCAAATTTCCTATAAGGCCGGGTCCTTGTTTTATGATCTCCTATCGCGTTCCTCTTCAAACATATGACAGAAACAAAGTGAAAGAAGAGATATGCTGGGAATTTCATACGGAGAGCTATTTCTCTTGCTTGGCGCTACTGCTGCTCTTATTGGTACTCTTTCATTTTTTTTCCAGTTGGGTTTTATATGTGAGTCCAGAATATTATTCTGCGACTTACTCTCTTTTCCCATTTTTAGGTGTCCAAAATTGTATTTAGAGGTCAATTTGACCCATTTTTAGGGTGATATTTCAAGTAAATTTTGAAGATTAACAGTAGGTAATTTTAAAATAGGTTTAAAATGATCCATTGAGTAATTAAGTTTTGATTGCAAAAGATAATGCAAACTATCAAATATGCTTGTTATAGCTGCGTTAAGGAAATTAATGGCTTGTTCAATGTAATTGCTTCTGGGGGTTGTTGATTTGTGCATTTCTTAATCGGAAATATCTAGTTCACTATGTGTGTGTGTGTGCGTGCGCCCAGATGATATGGTTTTACCCTTTGAAAAAAATAATTTGTGTTTTTAGGACCTAAAGATTTGCCAATCATAGCAAGAACAGCTGGCAGATTTGCGGGATGTTCCATTGGTTATGTTCAATTGGCCCGTGGTCAATTTGAAAGTGTTATGCAGCAGTCTCAAGCTCGTCAGGTTTCTTTCTTACTGCCTAAATCTGCCCATTTTTTTTAAAAACTCCTAGTCTTATAATGCATTGGTATGACTAACTTCAAACTTCCATTTTTTTTAATATACTAAGTTCAAACTTCATAAAGTTCAATCCATGTTAAATGATAAGTAGGTGTTTAGTGTCCATGTAGCTGTTTTCCCTTTCTCTTTTAAAGCTGAGGTTTTGCATCATGACTAGGACTAATATAGACTTTGTTATTGCTCTTAAGCTGGTTGACTAAATTAGTAAATTATGCTTTGTATCGCATAATAGCTTATTGGGTTGAAATGAAATGTTACCACTTGTTATTTTATCCTTCATCTCGAGTTTTTTATCAGGTGCATAAGGAACTGCAAGATACCATTGCTCAACTGGAAGCCATACGTCATGAAATTCGAACAATCTCTTTTATGAATCCTGGTCCATTGACATCGAGGCTAGTAGACAGCATCAACACAACAGCTGCAAATAGCACTGGTATTTCTTAGTCTTTTACTTTACGCGGTTGATTTTAGGCTTTTTATATTAGTTTTTGATTTATTCTTCTTCTTTATGACTCTGAAAGAAATTTCTTCTTTGTGACACAGTTGAAAATGGACCTAAAAAATCTGATATCAAGAGCACCATAGTTGAAAAGGGACCTCAAATATCTGAGAAAGAGAACATTGTAGCAACTATCACACCTGAGGTTTTGTTGCTTCTCTCACTATTATTTTCATTATCTTTTCCTTCCTTTATTTATGTGGTTAATAATTATCAGGACTATAGTTCAAGGAAATCTTTGACCGATATGCACAGCCAAGCTGCTGCTTATGCTAGATTGGCTGAAACGACACCTTTGAAATCCATTTCTATAAATAAGGAATGTCTGAGTGAGCTGACTGATGAATCTGGCAGTATTATTGTGCTCCCTGTCTCAGCAGAGAGTGCAGGGTTGTTGCCAAAACGTAAAGGTAAAGAATCAATTCCAGGATTCTGATTGCCTCATGTCTCTTTTTCAGTAAGCCCATTGGTCCTATTATTCTGCATGCAGGATAGTTTTCTGCTGTTTGGTAATTACGTACTTACCATTCGACCTTGTAAAATTGTGTGCATAAAGGTTCAGGACAGGATCTCTGCAGAATCCTTTGTCAAGTCTTGTAACCTTGCTTTGCCCCCTTAAGGTGAGATTATATAAAGGTAGGATAACACTTGATGTTGCTAAAGTGAGGAAGTCTCAAAAGAAGGAGATTAGTAGGTGTGGTTCAAGCTAGCAGATTAAGTCTTTTTTTATTTAATTGGCCAACTCCGTTATTATCCTTATAAAAATATGGCCAACTCCATTATTAGGAGATCTAAATTAGGTCATTACCGAAAAGTTGAAGGTATTGTGATTAGAATTAGAATTAGCTGAAAGCACGTAGCATTCCTTTTTAATTGGCGTTCCTGCATCAAGAATCATGTTCTCTTTATATGATGGTGATAGGGTGGTAGGTGTCATTTATATGACAATTTGATCTTCTTCTTTTTTAGAATAATGGTGGTGTCTAGACCAGCTTCTCCATACCTCGAATATTGCACCTGCTATTTTCTGGCAGCATAGTTACCCGGTTACTCTACCCACCAAGGCTTAGAAGGATCGAAAGAAATCATCTCGCATTTTTTGCCTATGCTAATTATGACAATTTTATCCTGCAAACTTGATATTGGATTTCCTAGAAAGAAAAAGAATCAGGCTTGCAATTCCCTTCCCAAAACCCACTAGACCAAGAAGCACCTTATAGATCTAGACGGGCTCCATGAGAAAATAGGTTTAAATATTTACATGCTTCGTAGCGGCAAACCGAGGGGTGGATTTTTTTAGAGAATCAACTCCAATCTCCTATCTACGCCCTGTGCACGTACAACAGTTTGTTTTATGGTTTGTTGAGAAATATCTTCCTTTGTTGTGTTAATTGTTTTCTTTTTTCCCAAAAGATGAAGCAAAGGGGTCTGACATTGTGTTAGAAGCGATACTGGAGGCAGAAGTGGCAAATAACGCCAAAGAGTTTTTCTCACAGCCACAAAACCAATTAAAAAGTGACTGAAGAGGTAAGAAGTACTCCCTTTGCTCCGCTTATTGATTGCCTTTTATTCACGAATCACGAGCACATGCATATGGTTCAGTTTATTTGTTGGGCGATACATGGCGGGCGTCATAATTTAATGCTATCAAATTGTATGTGCATCCTCTTTGCAGTATGTGAAAAATGAACTCATAGTTATGATCTTTGATATGTATATGCTCTTATTCCAGGCACATCTAAAGAAGATTTGTGTATTGGAATGCAGAGATCAGCTTCATGCCAAGTGAGCATGTCAGCTGTGGATGAAAGATATCTGTGCAAGGACGGACGATTTAAGCCCAGTTCGAGTATCTCTACCTGTGGTTTTTGAGTCTTGTACCTAGTCTGTTTAGATATCCTGGGCATCTAAAGAACATAAGATCCGCGTTGCCACCGGGCTCAAAGTCATATTGTTTGACAGATGGTAGTCAATAACATAGTATAGAAATAAGAAATTTCCATGGAATTCGATTCTGGAGTTCTGCATATTTGTAATGATTTTTAAATTTTGTCTTAAAATACGGCAAGGCCGTAGTATAAAGTTCCAAATGTACTTCTTTGCAAATAATTGGAAGAATACTGTTGATATCGTTTAGCAGTGTCAGGGATGTTGAGCTTCATGACTAATGTAATTTACCAATTTTATGGCACGACTCCGAAGGGAAATGTAATTCATCATCAAAGGACCAAATTTTGGAAAACTTAGGTAAACGTTCAATTTCAAACCATTCTTTTTATTTCAATTTCAACCAAATATTGTTCATGTCTGCCAAACGATTAATGGATGATGCGATTGCTGTGTTTTTAAGAGTCACTCGTATTTGATGTTCATATTTATCACTCAATTATAGCCAAACCATGGCTGCTGTGGATAGGGAGGCTTCAGACCTACTTGTACGTGGAGAGGATACAAAAATGTCTGATCCACAGTAATTGATCATTGATTGATTGACCCGTTTATTCTTGCCATCATTTTCATTAGATGAAATGGTATCCTGGCCACTTAAACTTGTACCAGTTTGTAAATCCGATATCTGAACTCTTGGGTTTCCCATTTGAACATCTTTACTTGAGAAAATGGCTACTAATAAACACTTGTGATGGTGCGTGTTGTTCAATTGTTGCTGACATGGATTTAATTTAATATTTTGTATTGCCACATCATCCGTTCATTCACATTTTGTTGACACTTGTATGTTCAAGGTCCCACTTCTGTTTTTTTCTTCTTTTTATTTTTTATCAAATTAATTTTTTCTACACATATCCTTTCCACTCCCTCAGAACCAGCGGACAAAACCTTCCGGAACTGGGAATCAACTTGAAAACCTTTAGATTTTATCATCGACAACCGGTCAAATATCTCCGGCGATTGTCTTTTTTCTCTCCCACCCAATACCTTTCACTTTTATTGTTTATCATCTTCTCACCAATAAAATATGAACCATCTGCAAAACCTTTTACCACAAAAAATTATAAAGAAAAAATCACCAAAACTCAAAGACAAAAATCACCACCTCCAAGACTAAAGAGAAAAATTATGAAGGAGTGAACAACTTTTACCATGATTGAAATCAGACCCGATTTCTCCCAACAAATCAGCAAATAATTTCAGCAAATCAAAAAGCAGCAAACACTGTTTGCATTTCAATTTCTTTTGACCTATTCATACTACAAAATCAGACCTGATTTTTCCATATTCCTTGATCTGATGGGTTTGTTTTTATGATAATGGGTGTAGACTTTCCTCTAATACGGAGCTTTGAAATGTGATTGATAGTGAAAAATTGAAGAATAGGCAAATATGACGGTTTAATATGGAGTTTTGGAGTGTGATTTATCAAAAATTTTGTTATGGACTTAATTTGGACTAAGGGGAAAGAGAGGGAAAAGGAAGACAAATGGAGGGGGGGGGGGGGTATTATGGGGGGTGGCGACAATTAAGGGAGGGGGGGGGGGGGGTAGAAGGGGAACATGAGTGAAGAAAAGGAAGGGGTAGGGGTAAGGGTATGGGGAGGAATAAATAGAGCTGGACCTATTTTTATTTCTTTATTATTAAATTTTATCGTATTCACGCTGTTTACCTCGAAAATACGAGTAACAATTAAATTTGATTTGTGGTTTTAAAGATATGTGATTTAGTTCAATACCAATTAATAATCAAAAAATATGAAGTAGAAATGAAAGAGATAAGTGAATCAAACCAATGTTACTTAGCAGTAGTGACCTCGAGATGGTGACCTCGAGACGGGTTAAAAGCAATAAAGTAAGCAAAGCAAGAGCAGTAGAGCTAAAGGACAATGCTGATGAACAGTAGGCAAAAAGTAGAGAGTATATTCTTTTCTCAGTGATTAGATGATGTTACAAATGATTGGGGTCCCCTTTATATAATAGGGGAACCCTACATATGGAATATTTCTATTTACAATAGGAAATATTCCTGATACAGCTGTCTAACCTCCTAGTATGGAATCGTACAATCATATTCCAGGATTTGCGCCATGATCTTGGGGACGTGGCATGAATCTAGCCTGTTCTGTTACAAGTTCATAACGGTACTATTCCGGGGTCGAGCGTACTTGGCCCCGATATTCCTCGTACTCCTATCTCTCGAATATTGCGTTCTGTCTTCGAACTCTAATCTAGTCTACCGGGCTCGAACTCGACCTCGCCCGGGCTCGGGCCTAGGATGGACCCTTGAGCCTATAAATCGGAGGCATATGATTTTGACCATATACAGATAGTCCCCGCATTTCTTAGAGTAAGATGATAAGAAACGATTTGATCCTCGTTTTCTCGGAGTCTTTAGTGATGACGTCATTTTCGTGATGTAGGCGCTCGAAGTAACTGAAACGTCCCGTCGGTTCACTTCCCCAAAACATTGAATGTACACCAGTATTGGTCGGCCACTAGCGCCGCCGAACCGTCGTTGCTCTTCTATAAATATGAGGCTATTCCTTTGAGTAAAGAACTTTACTCTTTCATTGTATCTTTCCCTTCTTCATCTCTTTCTCTAATCATCCGTTTCACGGCCTTTTTAAGTACCGGAAAATGCCAGGCTTTTGTAAAAACACCACATTCCGACACAGCCTGTATCCTTTAGCTTAACATCATGGCTAAAACTTCCAAAACGGTCCCCAAAAAAGATAAAGCGTCAGCTTCTTCTACCTCTCAGCCGGCCAAACCAGTGGTGCTGCCAACTCTTGAAGAAATCACCCCCGGCCCTTGCGTAATTAAAAAATACTTCGGTATTGAAAATCCCCCCGATGTCCCGGGCGTGAGAATGAGTCTCGATATCTTAGTTTGATATCGGAGAAGAACCTAGAAGCAATGAAGAGGGACTGCGGCTGGGGCAACGAGGTCTTGGTTCAGATCCCGGGCCCCGAGGAAAGCATTACTACCCACGTGGAGGGGTTTTTAAGTGTTTACACTTACCCCTTCACACTGGGTCCCCTCGATCCGGTGGTGATCGAGTTCTGCAAAACATACGAAGTCACCCTCAGCCAGATTCAGCCCTCCTTTTGGCGCATCGTGATCATGTTGCGCTACTTTTCTGAAAAGGCCGAGGGATTGGAATTCACCCTTAACCACCTGATTTGATTTTCTCGATCCCATATGTTTCGAGGGCTTATCAAGCTGTAGCGTCGAACAACGAAAGCCTTCTTTGCCAGTAACGACGAAAGCAAAGATCGAGGATGGATGAGCCGGTTCGTCAGAGTAAGGACTTCGGATGTCATCCCCAGGGATAAAATGCCGTTCCCAAAGAGGTGGAACTTTAATCGTAAGTAGAGTTCTTCTTCTCAGTATTTATTCATCTTCAACTTTCATGTCTCTCAATGCCTTCGCCTTTTCTGTAGCTATTGCGTGGGCACCTCACGCGGTTCCCGACCTCGAGGATTGGGTCTGAAAATTAGCTTCCACCTCCTCCTACGATGAGCGCAAATGGCGTGAATTATCGAGGGGCAAGTGGGAGGCCAAACATCATGGTAAATTCTCTTCCCAAGTTTTTGATACTTCTAATATATTAGTGGTGTCGACTCATTTATATTTACTTGTGCAGGTATCGGAGATGTCTCCAAAATGAGGCCAGCCCAGCCTGGGGAAGGGACCAAGCCTTCAATTCCGAAACCGGGGAAGGACAACAAAAAGGAAGAGGGTTTCGAAGCCTAAAGACCCTCAAGACAAGAAAACCCCTGCTCGGAGGCTATGGAAGAGATTTGATCATGTGGACGCAGATTCGGCCCATGATTCCCCAGATGATGAAGAAAATGATGGTGAAGAGTCGGTGCCTTGAACCAGGAAATCAATCGAGGCTGCCAAGCCCTCCGAACTAGATACCTCATCCCATGGCGAGGGAACCCCAAAGAAGGATTTGGGCAAGGCCCCCGTGTCCCTGGAGATTGAGATCGTTCCTCCGCCTTCAACAGATATACTCGAAGGTGAGAGTGTGGAAACTCTCGAAGCCAATCAGAATGCCCCGAGTGAAGAGCTCGGGGCCATGACAACATGTCACTCCCTTTCTTTATCCTCTTATTCCGAGGAGGCAATCGAAGATGCTAACGCTTTGCGTATGCCCGATCCGAGCAAGGTCCTCGAGGAAGATCCCTTTCATGGTTGCTATGCTGGGATTGAAGATACCACCGACCTTAACGATGCTTCCACCATCTTCGAAGAGGCTCAGCGTCTCCTTTCTCAGGTAAATACTAACTTTCATTGCTGTAATTTTTCTTTCTTTCCTTTCCTTTGACTGACATATCTTCACTTCATGTATAGGCCATCGTCAAGTTTAAGGCCGAGCTGAGCCAATGTGAGGCCGAGCTTAGGAAGATTTTGGGCGAAGAGAAGGCCCTGAGACTCCTTTGTAACCAAAAGGAAGAAGAGCTTAGGGACCTCCGGTCTGAATTGGCCAAAGCTCAGAAAACAATGCCGAGCTAGATGAGCAGGTAACTGTGATATTAACAGGGTACGGTCTTCTTAGCCATACTTCAAGGCTAACACTTCGATATCTCAGCTGCAACAAAAGTTGGAGATGATTGGGCAGCTCCGGGGCGAGGTTGGTCAAGTTAAAGCTGAATGTCATAGGTGGAAGAAGAACATGGATCAGCTCGTTGCTGATAAGGAAGCTGTTACAGTCCAACTGACCTTGGTCGAAACTCAACTCTGAGGCATTAAAGCGAAGGGTCTGGCCCAGGCCAAGAAGATCGAGGAGTTAGAGGCAGAACTTGCTGGAGCCCGGGCTGAAGCTGCACAATCTAAGGCTGAGGTTGAGAAGACAAAGGTCACGGCTAATAAGACCATTGCCGTGTACTTAAGAGATGCCGCAGCTATTCAAGCGGAGCTGAGGGAGGCCTCCGACCGAGAAAAACGGAGCAATAAATTGGCCAAGTGGCAAGCCCGGAAGGAGACTCTCGAAGAAATCCACGCCCGAGGGTTCGACCTCACTGAGGAGATAGCCGAAGCAAAGGCACAGGAAACCGATGCAAGGTTTCTCATCTCTTCAGATGACGAAGATGCTGTGAGGGGCTCCGAGGACCGGGAAGGTGAGGAAGGTGTTCCCGAAGAGGAGGGGGCTCTCGAGAATATGACCTCCGAGGGTGCGGTTCC